TGGAACTTAAATGGAGCGCGATTTCCGCCAAACATTTTGGGAAATTGGTCCGTGCGCAAAGCATTGTGGGGATTTTAAGACCGCGGAGTCTACACATGTGCAGCCTCGACATTTCTCGCTACGAAGGACGCCGGGCTCGGTAGAATTCCAAGTATGCTGGACATTGGAACAGTCCTTCGGCGGGACTCGATGACGTAGTATGCTTGAAATAGTGGCTCTGGAGCATCCTTCCTCGACATTGAGACACACCCTGGGCTCTGGTTTCAGACAGAGGGTGAATAGAGGTGCTGCAGCACAGGCAGAAGGAGAACATTAAGAGCTTTTTGAACATTAAAGCATGGAGACATGTCCCAGTAGAGACACTACATACAAATATGATCCTGAAAATGAGCAGAATGTGTCCTCTTTAAAGAATGGGCTTGAACAAAATCCAATACCAACACAGCGAGCTAAATACTAGAAGTGTATTGATTTTCCTTTAAACCCTTTCGATGTGTGCCTCTGGGGCCTTCTTTCCACCATTATCTTAAAATCTTACACCACCTCTTGTAAAAGCAAATGTGGCTTTACAATTTCTACATTTCAGCAGCTAAGTTGCATCACACTGTGTCCCGTGAGGAGTGAACTTGAGTTGACCCCAAACCCTTAGCCTACTCTTAAATTAATGAAAGTGTAATAAAAAATGAGTTACATCGTAAATCACTTTAATCATCCGTTAATGAATCAGGCGGGTGATTTTTTGGCAGGAAGGGAAGGAGAGAGAGAGGTTCCGCTTGGATGGGAAAACACTGAGTTAGCACAAGGTTTAGCCAAATATAGCTCCAGTAGATTTACAGTCAATTATTAATTGTGTGTGTGTTTAATATTATTATAAGCCAGATCCAGAGCAATGCAAAAACAGTTTCAAATACTTTTCACGGTTGGACTGTCAGACATTTTACAACAAATAAACAAATATATTTGTATAAATGTTCTGTATAAAATTCAAGAAATCTTAAGAAATACAAACTTGCCTTCTTCTTCGAACAAACTGAAATACACAACAACAACAACAACAACAAGTCCAATCTTTGAACATCTTAATAATGCCATCTAATTGAGAGTTTATGCTTTTAAATCACCATAGTGTAAAATCCCAAAGAAAACCGGGTTTGCTTCCCATTCCTCTAAAATCACACTGCTTAATCTGTTTACCTCTTAAATGTTTTGAATCTGCCAATCTTAAACACCTCGAGGGGAGAACATCTGAGTACTCAACTGTGCTGCCAGAGATTAGCTTGGATGAAAGCGAGATATATAACACGGCCAAATGTTTGTTTACGGATGCAGTGCTGGAAGAAGCACTTAGATATTCTACTCATCAAAGCCTCCTGATCAAATACTCCACATTCAAAATCCTCTGAGACTGCCAAGGCACACGTGTTATACTTAAGACATTACGTAAGGAGTGTTATTCTATAATAATATACTTCAACATGAGAGCAATGTTAAAATGTTGTCAAGGTAACACTGAAAACATCTACAAGGTATGGAGTAAAGATAAGTATTTCCCTTTGAAATGTAGGGCATTACAAGTATACGTCTAAATAAGCAACTATGTCCTTCAAACAAGAGGGTATAAAATGTTTATTTTAACAAACCTTGAATACACTTCAATAAGAGCCTGGTTTTGATTCTTATCCCCATCCCGAACCTGCCTGAGGAAATACACCNCTTCCCACTCAGTCACTACTGACATCCTACACACATGCAGTACATGTGACTCACACTGCACAAACACTCACACCGACACAAACCGACACATCAGGGCTTTATGCCTACAGTAGTTCTTGCACTTTGTGAGAATCTGTCAGTGTTCTCTAGTTCACAATTTGCCCCACATACAGTAAACTCAGTACAGGTTGTTCCCTTTACTGTGACTAACATGTCCACCATGTGTTGCATCCCCTCACTCTAAACTCACTGACGAAGCAGTCGGCATAATTATATAACCGAAACCGAAACCGAAAGCAACCGAAAGCATAGGATGAGGAAAGATTTGGTATAAAAAATATATAACAGTTCAAAATGAAGACTACAATATATTCAACAGCAGAGAGGGCAGTTAACAGTTCTTCAATGTATTACTGTTTGTGTGTGTGTGTGTGTGTGTGTGTGTGTGTGTGTGTGTGTGTGTGTGTGTGTGTGTCTGTGTGTGTGTGTGTGTGTGTGTGTGTGTGTGTGTGTGTGTGTGTGTGTGTGTGTGTGTGTGTGTGTGTGTTTTTGTTCACCTTGTGTTGTTTCCACATCACAGCCAGCGGTTTAACGTCGTGTTTGGCGTGTTTCCCCTCCTCCAAACACTTCATACACACCGGAGCCTTGCAGCTGTAGCAGTACATGTTGAAGTTTTCCGCTTCGTGATCCACGCATGTCGCCGGTTTCCGCGCAGTGGCGGGCGGCAGCTGACCGCCTCCTCCCGCCGCACCGCCTCCTCCTGCCGCTCGGTTCGGCGGCGGAACCAGGCGGTGCTTGGCGAGCGGGCCGCGGGACGGGTGGCACCGCTGCTGGCACGCGTTACAGTAATACACGTCGCACTGCTCGCACATCACCGTCGCGTCCACCGGGTTGCGGTCGCACAGCTGGCACTTCTGCGCGGTGGATGAGGACCCGCTAGAAGCAACGCGGCGGTTCTGCTGGTACCGCGCGGTGATGGCCTCCAGCAGCCGGTTCCGAGGGAAGCCCCGGAGCCCCCTCTCATCCAGGGAGACGCTCCGGTGGCACAGCGGGCAGGTGAGGGAGCAGTGTCGGTGGTGGTTGACCGGAGGAAACACCCGCACCCCGTTTGGAGACTTGAGCTGGCACGGCGTGTAGGACCCGTACCCGCTGTCGGTTTCGCTGTACAGGCTCATCTTGTCCATGTCCAGGTAGTCGTAGTCGGACGAGGCTCGGCTCTGCACCGGGGTCTCTCCGTCCGGGGTCTGCACCGTGATGTTCCGGGCGCAGGCCAGGCAGACATTGTGGGAGCACGGCAGCAGGATGGGGTCCTTGAAGAGAGAACCGCAAACGGGGCATTTTAACTCTTCCTCCATCGCTCCCGTGTGTTTCGTTGGACCGGGGAGGAGAAGCAGCTGCAGGGAAAACACTCCAGCACCGACTGACACGGACAGCTCCTAAGCACGGGGCTGCGCATGCGCGAAGAGGGGCGGGGATTGTAGCTTGAGTTGATTGATCGAGTTAATTTAACGGCTCTGAAACACCACAGATCTCACGATTGCAATGTTATTTATTCATTCATTCATTTATCTGTTTGTTTATTTAGCATTTCGTCTAATCTGTTTTATAATCATTATTATATATTGGGTGTTTTTAATTATTTTAATTATATTGTTTTAATTTACTTGTTTTATTATTCAAGAATATATTTGTTATCTTTAATTTATTTTTGCCTTATTGCAGTCCTGACATTTTTTAGGTCAACCTGAACTACTCCATGTTTTGAGATGTGCAATACCAATACAGTTTAGAATTAATGGCATTATTATTTAAGACTGCATAAAAATGGTTTAAAACACATATTGGTGTCTTAAATAAGGAAATAAAAATATCCAGCTCATGAGGTCAGAATCAAAGTCGAAAGGAGAAGAACAATGGTGATTGTTATTACGGTCTACAAACAAAGATAACGAGTCCTAAAGAGAATGATAGCCCAAAGCTTGTTCACATTCTGATTTAGTGTTGAGTTCATCATTTTGCCTTAGTAGGGCCTGTACATTGTTAAGCTATTTTGAAAAAGAAAGTACCTTCCTTTCTGTTGGTAAAGTCTATTACCCTCAACCATCCTTAAGGCTGGTGCAGTGAACAGAAAGGCAATGATTGTCGATCATTATGTCAACAGTGACAATGGTCCTGATGATAATGATGATCACTTATTGTGACTGCCTGATGCTCTGCATTTGTTCTGCCTGTCAGTCAGAGACAAACGATCATAGTGACAACAAGTAGCACATCATGCATAATAGAAATAAAACAAGCAACCATTAAACTCTGTGAAAATAATGTTAAGATGCAATAAAAGAGAGTATAGCTGCTTACAATGGATGGAGATGTGTTTGATCCTTTGTGTTTTTGTGTCATTATAGCATTTTGTGTTATAGCTAAATGTGTAATTGACCAGACAGCAGCATTAATCCCACCCACTGGGACACTTCTTACATGTATTTGCCCCGTTAGCGTCCCTTTAAAGATGGATATACTGTATGTCGACGTACGAAACTACTTGTATTGCCTGATTTAACCTTTAACCACAATCTAAGGCTCTTTAACAAGTGAGAGTTAAGTTTCCTCTTGTTCCAGTCATTTTTGAGCACATGTACTCATCAAAATGTAAAGGCAGGGCTTACATCACAGTGAGACAGCTCAGCGTGATAGCAAGAGATAAAAGGTGCCACTTTGACATCTAGTGCAGAAGTTGTAATGGCTTTGACATCATTGTGAGAAGCTCCTGAAGAAAATCCACCAGAGCACTATCCCTCTAAAAGGACAGTCAAAAGTTATTTTCAGTCTTTTTTTTTACTGAATTAAATAGAAATGGTGTCTATACATGTTCTGTACTTTGGTTCCATTTCAGTTAAATCGCAGTTTTTTAATATTTCACAGCTTAAAAGTTTAAAACATAATTGTTTGTCGATTACGTTTTGTAATTGATTTGAATATGAAAAGTAAAGCTCTATAGAGGAAATATACGAGTACAAAGTGTAATATTTGCCTCTGAATTCATGCATTATCTTTGACTAGAAGTAAACAGAAAATGGAAATAATCAAGTAAAGAACAAGGAGTTCAACAATTTGCCTACATATTACAATATTTGACTTCTTGCTCTGTTGAAAAAATTATAATAAGTGATGTTTTTAAGATAACATAATGGTGGGGCTATAGCCTACTATGCACATATGCAAAACCATAAATAACACAACAAAGCCCTAAGCCTATTTCACATTGCTCACACAAAGTTAAACACAGGCACATATTAAATGATAAAGTGTCTAGTTTTGGAATTTAAAAAAACATAAATGCAAATTGTGCACATACCTGTTCTCCTTCCTGTTCAAGTCCAGTTTTGAATAGCTGTCAGTTTGGTTAGCCATGTTTGCTCAACTTTCCACTTTGTCCTGCTGTTGCTTAAATGCTGTAATCGGCTTCATTTGCACTGGGGACGCTGGGGACATGTCCAGGGAAATGTAATAAACAAGGACACTGGTTTAGTGTCAAGATGTGCAATTTGGACAGTTTGTAAACTTGAATAGAAAATGTAAAACAAACATTGCTCCCGTAGGCAGTACACTTTAATTTAGTGAAGAGCCTCTCACATGCTCAGGCTCGGACTGGCCATCGGGAGGACGGGGAGGTTTCCCGATGGCCTGGCCTGTTAAGTGGCCTGCTGGCCTGGCGATCTTTTTTTTAATGTATTGTGAACGCAGCGTTGCGCAAATGTGGGTCTGCCTCACACAGGGTGACTGTCTGTCTACATCAGGGGTGCCAAACTCAAATACACCGTGGGCCAAAATAAAAAAAATGGGTACTAGTCGAATGCCGGACTGGTTCAATGTTTATTGCAAAACTTATTGAAATGAAGTTATTGCACATATTAAACCTGGAACTAACAAAGCTTAAATGATTGCCTATAACAACATTAAACATTAAATAATCAGTTGCATTCATTTCTTATGGCTCTATCTGCAGCTTTTCCAGAGTCATTTCTTATGATTACATTTTTCCACAGGCCAACAACAGCTTCAACAAAACTATTTCCCTCAAAGAGAAAACCAAACATGCCCTGTTGTCTCAAGAAAGAAAGTGCAGAAGGAAACATCCATTAAACTCAGTGTGCTGCTCTGTGATGCTAGTTCAAGCAGATACTTGGCATCTCATCTGAGTTTAATGGATGTTTCCTTCTGCACTTTCTTTCTTGAGACAACAGGGCNATATATATATATATATATATATATATATATATATATACAACTTTGGACTATTGGAAACTTTAAAGCATGGTGAAAATAATTTGTAAAGGAAGGCTGTGGCGCAGTGGGTCGTGTGTTGGTGTTCGGATCAGCGGGGCACAGGTTCAAACCCCACTGCAATCATTATGTCGTTGTGTCCCTGAGACACTTCACCCCAAAATGCTCCTGTGGGGATTGTCCACAGTATTGAGTATGGAAGTCGCTTTGGATAAAAGCTTCTAACAAGTGACATGTAATGTAATGTAAAGTCTGTAGTGATTGCTACCTCAGTGCAGAAGATCTTTATCCGAGGAAAAACCAACTAGATGCTTAGTGGTCATAAGATAAATAAGATCAGACGTACTTTGTTGGACCTTTCTGACTTGCAGCATAACTAGCTTTCATAATTCATGTTAATCACCGTCACGATATAAATCTTTCCTCTGCAGGACGAGATGCGCGGCTGTGGCATCGCCAGCTTCGACCAGTACACGGGGGATGACTGCTGGGTGAACCTGAGCTACACCATCGTGGCCTTCACCAAGCAGATGATGAGCTTCCTGGAGGAGGGCCTGAAGCTGTACTTCCCCGAGCTGCACATGGTGCTGCTGGAGAGCCTGCGCGAGATCATCCTGGTGGCCGTGCAGCACGTGGACTACAGCCTGCGCTGCGAGCAGGACCCCGAGAAGAAGGCCTTCATCATGCAGAACGCCTCCTTCCTCCACGACACCGTGCTGCCCGTGGTGGAGCGGAGGTTTGAAGAAGGCGTGGGGAAACCCGCCAAACAGCTGCAGGACCTGAGGAAGAGCACCAGGCCGGTCCGCATCAACCCAGAGAGCACAACGTCGATGGTGTGAGAAGACGGAACGCTGGCCAATAAACACTGAAAAGCTCTTTTACTGAATGTTCCGCCAATTTCAACTCCCATTTGAATAATAACCGCTAGATGTTGGTTGTTTTGAGATTGCCGGACAATAATTAAAAGGATGCATTAGGAGAATACCTCAAGATAGGTATGAGTATATAGCTACTTTGCACCTGAATTTGTACAGACACACACACATGCCTATTGTTATTGGCTAACATGGATAACACCTGATCTGATTTTTTTTTTTTTTATGCACTAAAATGATTTATGAGAAAGCCTTGTTCCATTCGACAGTGAAACAAACGCATCATCAGTGACTTAGCATCAAATAAGACACATTGAAATGTGTTTGTGTTACTGTGTGATGATAACCAACAAGTGCACAGTGTAAGTGTGCAACAAGTCCCTGAGGACACATTTCAGACAATGATTATATTTACATTTATTTCTGATCAGACTGCCAATGTTACGTGCCTGTTTCCATGAAATGTCAAAACACAATTGATCAAAGATATCGAATCTATTGACATCAGTGAAATAAGTGTGTACCCATGCCAAGCTAATGTTTATACTTAAGTTGGATTATATGTAATATGATGTTTGATGCAAACTCACCCAGCTTAGATTTTGACGCTACTGGACCGTCATTAGACACTAAATAGTTTTCTTGCATAGGACAGTTTGAAAAGGGACGACTGAAAATATAATGCACTGGTTAGCGCTCACTGTTATAAAAAACACATGAAACTGAATAAAGATCTAATGCACAAACCTGATCTGTGTTTTTTTGTAAACAGACACATTAGTTGCACAAAAACTCAACGTATTGCTGAAGATTATTCACCTGTGAATGTGTTTAGAGCATTGCTACAATCAAGACCTACTTCTTCAAGGTCGAGACCTCGGATAAGTCGACTCCAATTCACATAAAGTCGAGTCAACAATATGCAAAAGTGTCTCCAAAGCTTTTCATCTGCTCTCCTGAATTCACAGCTTGAATAATATAAGGTCACATGTTGGTGAATGCAGGAAATACAGAACTCAAACAACACTCAACTTCTGGGTTAGAGTACATTTCATCTATAAAACACATGTAGTTCCTGAACATCTTTCCTTTGAGCTCACCTTTGAAAGATAAAAGAGTGTTGCCCTACTCTTTAGTACATTTATTTATTTTATTTAACCTTTATTTAACCAGATAAAACATAACGTGTAAGAGAAGAGACGTTACTATTTGAGGCAAGCATGTTTCTTTTCCCACGTGTCTCGTTATTTGAGAATGCTAGTTAAACCAACCCATACAGAAACAAAGCTCCCTTTCTGTGTTGACAGTGAAGAGCGATATGTGAATGTGACCGATGTGTTTGCTTGATAAGGATCACCAATTTGCTTCTTTGTTCTCTGCCAAAAGTATATTCTTTTTCTTCTGTCAGAATGTATC